GTGTGTATGGGTGTGTGCTTGCGTATATGTCTGGCATTTGGGGAAACTGCTTTGCTTGCAGGTGCACTCAGAATCAGCTGCTCTATGTACATCGATAACGCTGTAGGGTGTTTTAGCCTGTAGCATAAAGAAAAAAAAAATCAAACAAGGTCTGTCCAAGGTTGGATTACCAACTGGGAAAAGCAGACAACTGCCCCAGGGCCCCAGACTCTCAAGGGCCCCAAAGCCCTCAGGTTGGCAATTAGTTTTTTAGTCCTTTGATGTATTGATTAGTATAAACTGGATTTCAGCTGGTTTTAAGGGGGCTCTCCATTGATTTCACACATTAAAGTCTGGTCTTAGGGAGCACTATTGCATTGCATCATTGAAAATAAAAAAAATCTGGAGGCATGGATTTTAAAAGAAGTGAGCTTACTAGACCTCAGATGCCTGCTCCTCTTCTCTGCTTGAAACTAAGTTCACACTACACGACTTTCAAAGTCAACAGATCAGTGTGCTGTTCACACTACACAACTTGCCATCTTGTACTCGGGAGTCTTGAGTTCGTTGTAGTTTTTACACTACATGAGTTACTGGCAACAGAGGGTCACACACTACAAGATCTTTCATATGGAGGGATCCCTAATGAGCATGACATGTAATGCACAGGTCAAACCACAACACAGGGTCTGGGCTTGAACAAATGATGAGATATTTGGCTACTGGGCACAGATATGCAGAGGGCCCCACCATCTCTTCTACGTAGTAGCAAGACACACAGACATTGTTGTGGTTTTGTGTCTCCTTGTGGTTGTTGTGTGTCTCTTCGTGGTCATTTTTGAGTCTCCTCCTGCTGTTATGTGTTAATTTGACATTTGACATTATGCAAGGGAAGGTCAGTGGGCCCCCTGACACTTTTGACCCCTGCATAGCCCTGTGCCCAGGAACCCATTCAGAAATCTACCCATGGGTCTGGGAGATCTTAGTAGAATATATCAAAGTCAAAAAGTGACTAAGCAGCATTTTAGATAAGTTATTAGGCTAATAACATTGTATGCAATAGTCCACCTTCCACCTTGCCTTCTCTCTGTCACTCTCTGTCTCTCCCTCTCAAACACACACACACACACACACACACACACACACACATAAACACTCACTTTGGAATGTGCAGCAGCACCATTTGTCTCTGTCCTTACCCTGTCTCTCACACTCTCATTGGCTTTAGCTTACTGACATAATGATATTTAGCATGCTAGATATCTAGGGAGCATCTGCAATGCTTCGGTGAGCCTCTCAGCTCACATGTTTGGACAGTTCCCACATAGCATTCAAGCATCAATTTGCAAAAGCAGAATTGCTCAGAGTCAATGCTGATTTGCTTCTAATCTGGGGCTTTTGTTAGGGAGCTCCAAATAATGTTAGCAAGCGGAAAATCAGGTCTAAAGTTGTGTAGTGTGAACACGGTATTAGGATAGCAGCTCAAGGCTACATTAGCCGCTATTAGCATAGCACACCCAAATTGCAGACCAAATTATTGGCAGCTGTCAGAGTTTACTAACACAGGCACCAGGTTTTAACAAGTATGAATAATTTGTGGAGTAAAAAAAGACTATATGTTATTATTCTTATTTATTTTTATTTTTTTAATTTGATCAACTTAAACTCATACAAAGTGGGGGAACCAGTTAAGAGGGGTTCACAGCTCATTTTTTGCCTAGTGCCTTCTACTGGGTTAATCCGGCTTTGCTAAAAACAAAACAATCTCTCTTCTAGTGACTACAAAGCTGTTTAATTTACACGTCATCTTGTTTAGTGAGTTAGTTGTTGGAAGTTCACTGACCCAGAGCAAGCCATCAGCAGGCTGCAACATCAGGAAGAGATTGACGGGGTTCAGGTCAGACGATCAAGTCTGGTGTGGGGAAAATCATTCACACAAGAAAAGAGGAAGGGAGGCCATGGCTGTGGCACCACACACCAGGAGCACTGCAAGATCAAGGAGGTGTCACGGGGAAGAAGGAAGGATTCATCAGCACATCAATCAATGGGTTTGACCTTTGGAAACCCCTGCACAGCTTCCTCATCAGAGTAACCTACGACACCCTGACCTGCATGCACCAGTGGTTCAGCAAAGGGGAGTGCTGAGCTGCCGCTCTCTTCACAATGCAGACCTTCAACACATCCTATCAGCAAAACAGACACGCTGTCTCAAGGGCGGTACAGCTGGTGATGTATCCAGATACTGAAAAAGGAGGCCAAGACACAAAATATGTAGGGAAGAGGTGAACAAGAATGTGCATGCCCAAAATTATTTTCAGATGTTAGAAAGAGGAGGCATGCAAACAAGAAGAAGTGTCACTGAGGGGCTATTATTGTTGAAATTTCTACTTTTTATTGTGAGCACACAAACAACAGTGACTCTTAAGTAAAAAAAAAGAAAAAAAAGAAAACACACACCACTTCCTCAGGATAAGAGGGAACACTGGAAGTAGCTACATCAACACTCCTCTCCTGGGGAAATCACCACATCCCTCTGACATAGTTGTGTGGTCTTTGGCCACAAAGACGTCCCCATTGAGCTCATCCTAAGGCTCCCTGAAGAGGCAGCTGATTGCAAGGAGGCAGGCTGGAGGGCTGACAGGTATCCTGAGAATAACCGCAGCAGGGTGTTATCTCACCCACAGGAGAGTAGGTCAAGTACTGAGGTTAAAGGATCCAAACATTTATGAGCTGTCGTCCCTATGTGACAATTCTGCAGGAGCACAGCTGGAGGTGAAACAGACAGCAGAGCCACATGAGACCTATATATCGCTCTGAGCTGTTGGAGGTATATTAGTGCTTGGTACTCTAAGTCACATTTCAACCCAAAGTTCTCAACTTTAGTCCCAAGGATGGCTTTTCAATTAACTAAAAGGTTCCCCCACCCTACTGTTACCTGTTTCCACCACAGCCTAAAGACACATTAAGATAAGACAAATTAGTTGAGGGTAAACACACTCTGTGACCTGCAGTTCAGTGTGCTTGGCGGTTTCTTAAAAAAAAAATCACCTAAAGAAAATACATCCTAGGTTTTGTCTCATGGTGATGACATTTACTGCTGTTGCGGCAAGCTGGATGTAATGAATGACACGCAAAGAAGGAAAATTAAACTAAGAGCATCTGTTGCCACAGTGAATCATCTGTTGATTGTTTGATGGTTATTTACTTGTGCTTTATGATGTAACTGCCATGACATAATCAGGAAATAACTTTTTTTTCTCTCATTTACTAGCTTTGTCACAGTCTCTCTCTGCTCCCTCTCTAGATCCATGCTCTTTGTTAATGCAGGATTTATACTACTGCATCAAAACAATGCTGTACCTACAGTAGGCTGACGTGCACCTCCCCTGAAATGTAACTACACATCACGGCGACGCAGACCTCCTGGCTGTTTTTGTAAGCTGAAACCATTTCCCTCATTGGAAAGAAAGCTTTTTTTTTTACTTTAATTTCACAGATAAGAAAAAATAAATTGTGAAGACAATACAAAATAGCACAAAATACCATCTTAAGTCTTGTGTGTACTTTATCCTTCAGGGATTTATACTTCAGGATTTATCCTAGCTTCGTGTGAGCAGAGGAAATCTCCACTCGTTGCTAGGCTATTTTATACAATGTAAAATGCCATAGGCTTGCGCTAATAACGTTAGCATGTTATATTTGTTTGGAAACGTGTTTAGTATAAGACAGTTGTTTTGTCAGTGAACCTTGTGAGTTGTAATGGAGTTGAATTTGTAACGTTACCTTTGTTAAATGTTGCTGTCTTCCCTGGTTTTACATGAGTAGAGGGAAAGTCTGCTAGCTGCTAGGCTAATTTTTACCATGTAAAATGCCATAGGCTTGTGCTAAAAACATTAGCATGTTGCATTTGTGGGGAAAATGTGTCCAGCAAAAGACAAGTGTTTGTCTGTGAATGCTGCGAATTATAATGAAGCCAATTTGTGTACTTGTGTTTGAAACTAAGCCATGTTAAATGTGCGTTTAATGTGTGTTTTGAATCAACTAAACTTTACAGCACTTCACAGAAACTGTCAACTGGTGTTTAGGAGGTGTAACTGCAGAGTGACACAGACACAACACAAGTATAAATGCTCAGAAAGGCGTAGCACAATCTCTCTTTTTTCCTCTCTCTGCCTTTTTCTAATGAGTCGAAAAGCTGACAGCAAAGTGCAACTTCACTTATATGTTATCGAACAAAGAGAAATGTTCTCCTCTCATCCTGAAATGGTCCTAAATTAATAGCACTACCTTGTTTTATGAATGAAGCGGGACACGAGTTGAAGCAGCAGCACTGGGTGTTTGACCAATTAGCGACAGTCATCCCTGTAAACCCCTATCAAGAGCTCCTGCATTTTTAGAAAGTAACACCCCACAATCAAGGACTTTTTGGGGGTCAAAAGAGGATCCTCAAAACTCAATTTAGACCATGGTTACTGTGGTCGAAATGCAATGAGTATCTCCAAAAGTTAAGGAAAGTTCCCGCGGTCAAGAAGGGGCTCTGGTCTCACTAAATAAGGAAAAACATAAATCTAACTAAATTATGTACAAGATGTAAGAGAACTAGTAGTTTAAATCTTCTCATCCGTTCAAAATAAAACCTCAGACTGTGCCTTTAACTTGGCAGGACTAACATCCCGTCTTCTTTGTGCTGTCTGAAAGAAAGTTGGTGTTATTTAAAAACATGCATTCTCTTTCACACTACGTTGTAGCCTATGTTTTATAACTGAACCATGACTTGCCCGGAGAACAGTGAATAAATCACGACAGCTGGGATGAACCACACAAAGTGATGTTATGTTTTAGCTGGATGAGTTTGTTTGTCATGTATGAAGTCAATGCCTCACATAGAGCAGTAAAAGCATTTCCAAAACACATTCCACTGGAGCCTCTCACTTAAAACACATTATTGGAGGAATCCGGGGGCATGGAGGACGTTAAGTTGTGACATTATTTTGACAAGAGCCAAAGAAACTGAGGCAAAACATTTTCTCTGTATTTAATATATATATATCAAAACACATGTTACACATTACATTACCAAAGGAATGCCTCTGTTCTTGTAGACACATGTTCGTGTCTCCAGTTTTTTTCTGATCGCAACATGAAATCTTTTCAGTGTAAAAGCTTACATGTGTAACCAATCACATGGCACAATGTGCTCTATGTCAGCGTATCAAAAGATTATGTTGTTCCCTACAACAGACAGTGAGTAAACTGTATAACTCATTGTTAATGAAACAGAAAACATCCGCTCTTGGTGTCAAGCTGTGGCACACACACACTCACACACACACACACACACACACACACATTTGGTCCCTAATAAACACTTGGTTGGTACACACCACAGCTGCTGCTTACATGAGAGTACTGAAGCTATGCATTCATGTTATTTGGTCATAAAAGCTTGAGACGTCTGTGGCCTTCGTGCTGACACAGCAGGATTAATACCACATGGACATCCTTACTACTATTAGCACTGATGAATAATATAGTAACAGCACAATTACGTAATGCTGTACATTTAAGAAGATGCTGGAGCTACATCTATCTGCTCTTTAAGCTCAGTAGTCCCAGCTGAAGCCCCCAGACAATGTTTGGTAATAATTAGAACCAAAAGAAAATGGACTTACATACGACCTGAATCATTTGCAAGCCCAACATCTTGACCTTCTTTAAAGGAATAGCTGATCATTTTGGAAATATGCTTGTTTGCTTTCTTGCAGAGAGTTAGATGAGTGGGTCAGTATAGCGCCACTCTTATGTTAGTATGCTGTGAATCTGCAGCCAGCATGCAATTATGTTAGTTTAACTTGGCGTAAAGACTGAAAGTCACTGTGTAAAGCCAAAATGTAATCCAGCACATAATCCTACCTGAAAAGTTGTGTTTGTACTTATTAAGCAAACAAATATAACGTGTTATGTAAGAGCTTTGGATGAGTTCATAAACAGATTTTTTTGCCTTTTTGGCAAGCTCTCTTCAGTCCTTTTACTAAGCTGAGCGTATCAGCAGCTGGCTGTAGCTTCAAATTTATGAGAGTGGTATCTAACTTTGCAAAACTTCCAATAAAGTCGAACTATTCTTTTAACTTAACACAGAACACACGCTTTTTAGATCACTTACAAACATTTGCTGCAGGAGAGACTCAAAACTGATTTAAATAATTTGTCTGAAGGATTCAACTAACGTGACATGAGGTTTTGATTAACAACGAGACAGCAGGACTGACACACTGAGCCAGTCAGTGGCTCGACTAAAATGACGAAGCAGCGTTGTATGAAGTTGAGCACTGAGCGGGCATCAGTGTGTGAAGACTTTGATTTACAAAAGAGGCAAAACAGTTAAAATGTACAGAATATAAATACAATTTCATATAAAAAAAAAAGATTAACAATATTACGCTGATACTATCCATGTTCAATGCCTGTCAGATGTACACACACTCTAACACACACACACACACACACACACACACACACAATACAATCTTACATACACAGTACAAGCTATGATTTAACACATTTACAGCCACTGTTTTGGCTTTACAAATGAGTGACAATATTCATATAATTTCAGTTATGATAAAACTGCTTTCTAAGTGCTGTTATCAGTCCAGTAAAGTTGACATTGGCTGGCTTTCAAGCTTTTCTACATGACTCAGGAAGATTTATGTACAAAGACTGCAGGATTGGCCTCTTCACTGCCAACTAATGTCAAACATGATGCTGATAGCGGACAAATTCTGATAAGAACAAATCAGTTTTAACATCAGTTTACATTGCATTATAGTCATTAGGATTTATAAACAGTGTTCAGGAAATGTTTTTTGAGTCTTGTAGGTTTCAGATCTGTGGTGGGTTGTCTACAGCTACAGCAGAGTATTCAGCCTCAGACATGTTGGACGCGTCGATGAGGCGTGCCAGGCCCGTCTTCGTGGAGTATTTAAAGATGAAAGCCTTCATGAGGTCATAGCGGTAATTTCTGTTGATGAAGTTGTAGAGGATGGGGTTGAAACAGCAGTGAAGCAAGGACAGGCACTGGGTGAGGTGTAAGGCGACGTAGATCACGTTCTCCAGGCCGCAAGTCAGAGGCACCAGGCCCAGCTGGGATAGGGCATCAACCAGGAGGACGCCGTGGTAGGGCCCCCAGCAGCCCAGGAACACCACGATGTACGCCAGGATCACCCTGCGGCTCACACGGCGCTCCTGCTCCACTGTGGAAGACGATGAAGAAGGAGAGGAGCGGGTGAAAGCATTGGCGAGCAGGGCGTAGAATACTGCAATGACAGGGAAGGGGAGAACAAAGCCCAGCAGGATGAAGCTCAGCTGCACGCCCACCATCCACTCCCTGGGGTTTTCCTCTGGATACACAGGCCTGCACAGCATGGAGTCCCCATGTGTTGACTTCACAGTGCCCAGGAAGTAGGTGTCAGGCAGGGAGGCCACCAGAGCCAGAAGCCACACCCCTACACACGCTCCGTAGCGGATTAATTTCCTGCGCGCGCCTCCATCGCTGTCTCTGTGCTGTGTCACACTCAGGTAGCGGTCCACGCTCATGCAAGCCAGGAAGAAGATGCTGCTGAAGAGGTTGACGGAGAACATCAGGTGCGTGAGTTTACACGCCACCTCCCCGAAGGGCCAGTGGCCGTGCTGGGCCAGCGAGCTCACCCACACAGGCAGGGTGGCGCACACACACAGGTCTGCAACTGCCAGGTGGACGATGTACATGTGTGTCTCATGGCGAGGGGTGGCGACTCTCTGCGCGCGGACATTCACCCAGAGGACCAGAGCGTTAGCAGCCAGGCCGATGATGAAGATAAAAGTGTAGAGGACACACATGGAGTAGAGCAGAGCGTTGCGGTTGAAAGCGGTGGCGCACACCATTGCATCCACACTCGATATGTTGCTGAAGCCCTCGGAGAAGTTGAGGTACCCCAGCGACTCCCACAGGTCCTCCAGCTCACTGGTGCTCAGACTCATTTTTCAGCGTTGGGAGAGGACCACTGGGAGGTAACACACACCACCTCTGACTGGGATAGATCCTGTAAAAACATGACATCAACTCATCATTTCTTGCAGCGTACAAGATAAAAAACCAACAACTAAATGCTACCCTCTGGTATCATGTTTAAGAAGCACTTTTCTGGTTATAAAGCATGGCTTATTTTATCCATGTGGACTCATACTGCATGAGCTAATAAAACATAAAGCCGCTTGTGGTATGCCATCAGATCCTGAAGAATCTTAATGCGGTTAACTTGTTAAAACACTGCTTTCATGAGTTAATAGAGGCTCTCTGTTGCCGTGTCACAAACGTAGGAGTTCTCTGTGATTGATGTGCAGTCAGGGGGCAGTACAATAAATGTTTACATTAGCTCGACTAGCGCAGAGTGCAGATTAGACATGAGGAAGTGGGATCGAGAAATCCAAACAGGGTGTATTTCCGGAGCGTTCCGGGCATTCCGAGATAAAGCGTTGGTCAGGGTGGGAAACCTGATGCCATTTTAAAGAATGTTTTCCTTTAACATGCTTGTTATAGTAAAAAAAAATCCCATGTTTCTCTTGTGCTCTTGAAGCAGAGGGTGAGAGAGGAGCTGTCACCACCCAGATGATCAAAGAAAAGGCTGCTACAATACGTCATTTTACAACATCTGAATCATATAACGCAGGAACACATGTGCACAATTTTAAATTCAGAGTACATTAAGGCCGTGAGTAAGGTGACTGAAGCAATATGCAAGATCACAGAGGTGTCTGGAGCAGCTTGGCATGCTAATAACCTGGCATGATCCTTCTGAGCCTAAAGGGCCGCTGAAATGCACTCCCAATTTTTTTTTTTTTTTTTTGCTGTGATGTCTTTCTTAGCTCCCCTAACTGGCAGTCTGCCACAGTGTGAAAGATCAGAGGTGAAAGGTAATAGATCAAAACCAGAACACGAGTGGCTTAACCCCGCTGTTGCCCCCGACTGACTTGTACGCCCACAGAGTGAATTGTGTGCAGAGATCAGCAGGAGGCTTGACGCCTGCAAAATGGTCTGACCAAGGTTAAGACGGGGGTCACCGACCACTGGGTGACACAGCACGCCGGAAAGCAGTGAAATGTGACCGTGTCAGACATCTGTCTGAGATGGAGACTTGTGCTGTACACAGGATAATTGCCACAAAGTCACTGTGGATGATGACAAAAAAAAGGCAAAGCCAAAATGTATACAAGGACACCTGGAACATATTAGGATGTGCAGCTGTCTGGTGTGTGTTATGTCTGCCTTTGGTATCTGTTATCAGTTTGCTTTTGTATCTCCATTTTATGCTACTTTATACTTCCACGCTGCCATATTTCAGGGGCAAACATTGTACTTTGAACATTTATTTGACAGATACATTACCGCTTAATTTGCAGGTTCAAATTTTATACACACAAAACACATAACTTGTAAAATATGATCAGCTGTTACATATTAAAATATCCAGTAGTATGCAGAGGTGCAGGACGTAGTCAGATATACTACTTAGCCTCAGTAAAAGTAGCAATACCCCAACAGTCATTATGCAGAATGGCCGATTTCAGGATAATAATCATTGATGCATTCATGTGTACATCACTTTGAAGCTGAGGGTAGTAAAAGGGAGTTAGATTCTACTGTTGGGTAGCTTGTGAATATCTTGGATCAATACTGTATTATCTTATCGTAACCTGTAATATGGAAATGTATCATTAATCTGAACCCATGTGTCTAGTTGTCAATTAAATGTGGTGGAGTAAAAAGTAGAATATTTGCCTCTGAAATCTAGTGGAGTAGAAGTATAGTGGAAAATGGAAATGCGCAAATGAAAAAAGAGTTCCTCAAAAGTGTTCTTCAAGTGCAGTATTTGAGTTAAAGTACTCTGTTTTCACCTTGCAAAGTAGTTAAAATAAGCTCCATCAGCTGCAATATTACAGATCAATACAATACAAAATATACTGCAATATAAATTCAGATAAACCGTGATAGAACATGGGCCAAAGAGGAATTCTACTTTGAAGGCATCTATCTATTAAAAACTTATGTGCTCATTTTAAATCCATGACACTGCAAATATTGCTACCTCTACTGAGCAAAGGATTTCCCACCACTGCCAGTGATAAACACTTTCAAGACTTGTCAGAAATCTGACTACTTTCAATTATCTCAAGACACTGGAGAGTGCTGTTCATTCTAATGGAGGGATTGTCTATGCTGAGATAATCCCTCACAATGGTCTCTGTCTAATTCCCTTATATTATATGGAAAATACCTGGAGGTGCCAGGTAGCCCCACAGGCTTCAAGCTAATTAACCTCTTAACACCCACACCATCAGATAACAGAGGCAGCACATGCAGCCCATCTCTCTCCCTCTCTCTGTCTCTCTGTGTCAGCTCAGCAGCATCCAGTTACAAATTAGCTGAAACAGCTTTTGTTACTCAATACACAGAAAATAAAAGCGATTGAAGGCGATTTTCATGTGCTAATGCAGAGAACAATAATGGTGCAGGTGCAGCGTGTTTGTCAGAGGTTTCTCCCGTCCGTCAGTCCCTGCCTACATGCTTCACTTTGGGGAGGATAAAAATATTTGGCTTTCAGGCAAGGACATCAGGTTTCCGCGAAGATAACCACTTAAAGTCTTTCCTTGTGCGTCATTACGCACAAGTACCGAATCCAGTGAAATGATCCCAGGCTGCTCCTGACGACAAACACTCACATTGTTGTCATTGTTGTGATATCGCGGGCTGGAAACACACTGGCCTTATCAGATGTCAGCTTGGTATACAGTGGTCTCACTTTGTGTTTGAGCGGGGAGGCAAATAAACAGCGAGACGCGCTGGGAAGATGGAGAACTACAAATAAAGTCACTTAAATGTGTTAGATGATGTAATATCTTTCAGTTTCTGTTCAGCAACTAAACTTAGCATATGCATCTATCCCGGTTTTGTACCTGGGATAATCAGAATCAATAAAGTTGTTACATTAAATTAAGCTCTTGTGTTTTCATACATGCAGTAAACGCAGATTAACGCAGGTATCGAGCATCTCTGAGTCTTTCAAAGTGTTAGAAAGCCGAGAAACTACCTGCACACTTGCTTCTCTTGCCCCACATAAGCTCATATAAGCATCTTACCTGTTTCTAACTCCTGCTCCCTCGCTGGTGTTTAAACAGCAGATTTGTTTTCGCTTAGTTTTCGGTGCTGGAGGATAACTTAAACTCCACTGCTGCTGCGGTGGTAGTAAACTTGTGTGCGCTTCCCTCCGCCTCCTTGAATGAATCTGAGCCTGTTCCTTGTTCTGCACTTGCTGATACTCAGGAGAGCTACGCCTCCAAGGCTGGTCTTAGCTATGCGTATTGACATGGCATCGCCTCGGGCGTTCAGTAAACAGCAGCCAGCAGCCAGTTTCGGCCAATAGTGGAAAAGGAATGCGCGGATGTTTGTTGCTTACGACGCCCCGTGTATAAAACATAATGCAACATTTTCACAATACTTAAGATTGCATGTGTGACTTCATGCGAGTATATGGCTTGCAGGTCCACACATGTCTATAACGTGGCATGCAGCCTATTGCAGTGCAAGTATAGGACAATATTACCAATGTATCATACAATGCATTTTAAGAAAGTGGCTATCATGTGAGAAAAAAGCAATAACTTAATACTGCCTGTATACAAACTTGAGCAAAAGTACATCCCAAAGCTTTTTAAATGACTGTCCTACCTGTTTAATAAATGCTGCAAATACAGTATGTTCTGTAATGTAATTAAAATGTGTTTTAATGATTTACTGGCTGCTACATATAGCTCAAAATATATATATATGAATTCTAAATATTTTTATTTTTATATTTTTAATATTTTTTATTTTTTTGGAGTAATTTTTCCCTGTTTTCCGTGGTAATATTTTCTGTTTTTCTGAGTATTTTTCCCCCTGTTTTTTGTGGTAATTTTTTTTCTGTTTTTCGTGGTAATTTTTTTTTCCTGAACGAGGAGACGATATACTTCAAAATCTCTTGAGAAGCTCCCACCTGGCACCTGCAAGTGACCTCTGCATCCATGGTGACTCCTGCTCATGGATGTATTTTGCATCCGTGCTCCTGCTCCTAGACAATTTCAACCCAGGGGTCAATAAGGGTAAGGCACGTAATTAGTTACACACAGGGTATCATAATCTAGCTATGTTTTCGACTGCATCCTTCTAGTGTAGGCCAGTCGCTCAATGTAACAGGTTAGGTTGACAAACGTGTATGAGCATGATTTTACAACCTGTTACTAACCTAACCTGTTACATTGAGTAATTGGCCTACACTAGAAGGATGCAGTCGAAAACATAGCTAGATTATGATATCCTGGGTGTAACTAATTACGTGCCTTACCCTTATTGAACCCCTGGGTTCTGTCTAGGAGCAGGAACACGGATGCAAAATACATCCATGAGCAGGAGTCACCATGGATGCAGGGGTCACTTGCAGGTGCCAGGTGGGAGCTTCTCGTGAGATTTTGAAGTATATCGTCTCCTCGTTCAGGAAAAAAAATTACTCAGAAAAAACAGAAAATATTACCACGAAAAACAGAAAAGGAAATTACTGAGAAAAACAGAATAAAATTACACCAAAAAACTAAAATTCTATATTAATATTATTATCATGATGACATTTTTAGGAAGGTGACTGTCATGTGCTGTGATGCAAAAATATTGTATATACAGACTTCAAAATAATGTACATTTTGGCACTTCCTGTTTAGGTGCTGCAAACAAAAAATGATTTTTTATGATTTGGTGACTATATACAGGGTAACAATACATAATAAAGGATGGTACATGATAATAAATCCATACGACATTCAAAATTACCATATGCTATTTTGTTTTTTTGTGGCATGCACATTATGTCTGTAACTTCCCCAGTCACACTCTTCATGTAAAGTATCTATAACACTTTATTATACAGCATAATATTCCATATTATCTGTAAGAAAAGCATATAGTGTAATGTATGAAATCAGTATAAAGTGGGCTGTAATCATGTAAACACAGTAGTAATATGATATATTGTATGCAAACTTGAGAAATTGTACAAAAAAATATTATACTTTTTTAACCTACACTGATTTTTTTGCATGATTTGACCATTATTAAATAACGCCAACATTTAAACCACAATGTGCAGGATACATGTATAATATACGTGATGCACAATACACATTAACCACATTATACCGTTTTACAAGGGCGCCTCCTTTGACCCAGCCCCAGCCACCTAAATATGAAACCAGAGCTGCAGACAGTTGGTAAACCACATCTACTGTCTTCTGCTTCCACCGAAAGCCAACAAACAGGTTAAACCCAACATCCAGTGCCACAGAGGTAACTGAAAACACCCTCTGAATAACGACCAACACTAAAAACCACATTCATGACTTGGCTTAAATTTTAAATCTGACAGCACTCCCTGTTATTTGGAGTTATTCTGACCAACTTCAGGTGCAAAGTGGTCGATTGTTAATTCTTTTATTAATGCGATGCTTGTCCTAAAACTGAGAACAACATCAGCTGCAGGAGCCTTGTTGTTTCATTGTTGCTTGAGCATTGTTGTGCTACATCCTCTGGAAGCAGCATGAAGCATTGTGGGAGACTCATGTGTTTACTGAGCCGTTGAAAGCTCACCTGCAACACTGGTGGCCTCACAGCTGCTCCCACCAGGGCAATTAACCCCAAGTTCAATACAAAAACAGAGTCACAAAAAGAAGGAGGAAACTGTGGACTTTATAAAAAGCATTCACATGAATTATGTTTGTCAAATAAGGATAATATACTTTGATTGAGCTCATTAGTGAAAATAATTCTTTCAACGTCATGTCCAGTGATTGAAGTATTGACATAACCAGGTACAGTATGTCCAGCGTGTTTTCATAGGAAAAAGATATTGTTGACTCGTACAGGTCACCCCACTGAAGTTTGTTATGACTGTGTGCTCTGTATTCATTGATGAAATGCAGCCAGCAGGCTACTCTGACCTCATTAAAGAGCAAAGTAGTGAAGTCGGTTTCAATGAGGCTTTAAAGAGAGCTCCCACTACGCACGCATACCCATTGTCCTCCATATCAGGAGCATCAGGGGGGATTTGTAAGCCTTTCTGATAAGCATCCGTAGCCCAGCAGACTGCTGCCAACCTCTGCTCTGCAGTCCTCATTCACAGGGAGGCCGGGTTGGGAACAGCAGAGGTGTATGTGAGTCAGTGAGTGTGTGTGTGTGAGAACCGGCCATCCGGCTCCCATATACTCGCTGCTATAAAAATGTTCTCAAAACGAATCTGAAAAGAACTGGATGAAACAGGATTACAGTTTGGAAACAATTAAAGTGATGTAATAGTTCAGAAACAAACATGAACATACAACAATAAGGACGCACCAAATAGCTTTAAATGCACAGTGCAAAATTAAATTAAGTGAAGTGAAATTAAATTGCAAAGTTTATTTCATTCCACAGTCTTCACCCCAAACACCTTTAAACTTTACCTGAACTTGTTCAAAGCATGGACTACCTTCACATCACCCACTGATTTCTGGACTCCTGTTTTGAAGCCTTGAGAGTGTCATTTCGATCTGCCATCTTTGTTTTTTTGGAGCCGGAGGTGACCATATTTGGATGAGAGGGTGAATCTCTGGAGGAGCGAGGGGTGGATCTGACTCATAGACTCTTTTTCCACCAAAATTAGCACATATATGCAGGTTTTTTTTAAACATGGGAAAACCCGCTAAAAATAATAAGCTATTCACCAGTGTGTCATGTTTGAAGTCACGAACAGGCCAGAAAACAGGTTAGTAAAAAGTCGACAGCAGCACGGAGGCCAGTGAAAATGTTACAGTGGTTACTTATCTCCGACTTACTCAGTCTCTATTTCAAACTCAGTGTGTTGCTTGGCATTTTGTGGCTGCCCAGCATTGCATCTTACTGTCAAAGGGGCTAAAATTAGCTTGTTCACCCAGGTGTTGTATTTCCCTCACTGCTGATTGGAGCTGGAGCTGAGAAATACCCGTGACTGCCACAGTCATTTCACTTGGGTGTGAATGCCGATGGTAAACTCTCTCATTACATACAAGCCAAACGTTAGTGGGTGGTAGTGGGTTTTTTGTGCAGTGGGGAAGGGGCTCTAGACTGTAGCTACACCTCGCAGACAGCCTTGTGGCCATTAGAGGAACTGCAGTTTATAGCACTTCAGCCCTGGTTGCCGCTTCCTTCAGAGTTAAGTTTTGCTAAATATTATGTGACATACTTTACAACAATTCTTCTAAACACACTGAGAATTCCTTCTAACATCAGCGTATTGCTTTGGTTTTACGGCAACTTTACAGATTCACTCTCATCACTGAGTTGTTTCCAGAAGTAGCAGGTGGCTGTTTCCAGTGTTTAAAAAAAATCCACTGTACACTACTTGTGTAGCACCAATAAACAGACAGACAGAGTTATGCTTCCAGACATTTACCCCAGACGCTGGTGGAGCCAGAAGAGAGTGAATGCTGGATTTTTATTTACCAGGCGGACACAAACACAACTTGACTGATGCCAGTGTTGCTCCTCGTCTGCTGGATGTGTAAATAGGCATCTGTTTGCGAAAGTTTGCCATATATATACTTAAAAGGTGAAAGGTCAGTGTTGAGTTGACAGCTTGTTCGCCAAAGTAGCCAAAAAATCAATCAGTTAATGCAGGTTTAATTATTTTAATTCCATTTTTCAGTACTGCTTTCCACCACTGGTGCATCTGTCTATGCTAAAAGACACCTACAGTTGCTCCACATGTGTTCATGAGGAGTTTAATTCGTCCACAGTTCAACACAAGTGTGACTACTACAGTTATTCCTACAGCTTCAGCTATTCCTACAGTTTTTAGACAAGGCCAGGTTTGTTGTAAACATTTTCACACACAAGATAAACAGAACGATCACGAGATAAGTAGCTGGAAAAGGGTCGGCGACTGCCAGAAGAAAACAGAGTGGCGATGACGTAAAAGAGTGAGACGGGGGATGGGGGTGTTGGAGGAAAAAAAAAAGTTGAGGAAAACAGAGGAAGAAAGATTGAGAGAGTTATTCCTAATGACTGCCGTTCCTATTGTAGTCTAGGCCTGTGTCACAGTGGGGGGTCTGACAGACACAATCTATTTTGGTGCAAATCTCCATTCAGAGGGTCCCTCTCCAATGCATTCTCAACCACATCTTTACCATCAACTGTCGCCCTCCCTCCTACTCTGAGGCGCCCTCTTTCATTTCTCTTCTCCCTTACATTC